TACAGTCGCTATGGTTTTGTTTACACATTAAAACACAAGGATGAAACCTTTCAAAAATTTAAGGAATTTTACAAACGCATAGAAACACAACATAATATCAGAATAAAACAAATTATGACAGATAGGGGATGTGAATTCATGTCTAAGGAATTCTCCCAATGGTTAAAGGATAGAGGAATGTTACATTACACGTCTAGTCCATTTTCTGCGTTCCAAAACGGGATTGCAGAGAGAAAGAATTCCACATTACAAACCATGATTAGATGCACATTAGAGGATGCTGGTTTAGGCAAACAATTTTGGTCAGAAGCCCTACATTATTCAAATTACACTCAAAATAGAACCTGGTCTAGTATTGTGAATAAGACACCATATGAGGTGATGTATAATAGGAAACCAAAATTAGCACACATGCACATATTTGGGGTCACTGCAGACGTACACATACCCAAACAATTGAGGAGAAAAGGAGAAAACGTATCCAGAAGATTAAGATTTATGGGATATGAAACTGGCACCAAGGGGTACAGATTCATTGATAATAATAATAAATTTATAGTTTCCAGAACAGCTGTGTTCCATGAACAGGCCAACTGGTCTAAATTACATCTTAATGAAATATTTCCAAATAAATGCAAGGATACCAAATCTCATGAGGAAGGGACGATAGAAAATCAAAATATTAACAAAAGTAAAAGCAAAACCAAAACATGGACAAATAGCCAACACAAAATAAAGACAGACACATTAACAAAAAAGGAAGCAAGATATTTACATGACTACCATAGCAAACCAGAAAGAACAATTAGAAACAACAGAAATCAAATACCAAATAAATACAAAGATTACATAATGCACATGGATGGTGAACAAATAACACCTAATACATATGAGGAAGTATTAAAACTACCTCGTGAAGAAAAAGAAAAATGGGAACTAGCTATGAAAAAAGAGATGGAGAGTTTGCAAGGATTAAATGTATTCACACCTGCGATTGCACCCAAAGATAAAACAATTATTGGTACCAGGTGGATTTATAAAATTAAGAATCTAGAAGGAGGCAATACCTTATACAAAGCTAGATTGGTTGCACAAGGTTATGCACAAAAATATCCGGAGGACTATACTGACACATACTCCCCCACAGTAAGGACAGAGAGTGTTAAAACAGCTCTAGTAGTAGCATCCACTCTCAATCTTGATGTATTTCAATATGACATACAGACTGCGTACCTACACGCAAAACTAGATAAGGAAATATACGTAAGAGCACCTCACAGTCAATACACTAATAAAAATGAAATTTGGCTATTGAACAAGAGTTTATACGGGTTAAAGCAATCTGGCAAAAGATGGTACGATTGCTTGGTAAAAGTACTCAAAACCATGGATTTCAACGCTACCACTGCTGATAACTGTTTCTTTGTCAAAAAGAGTGATGATCACGTTGAGTTTGTATTGATTTACGTAGATGATATTTTATATATAGGAAAACACAGAGAGAGAAGAGAAATCTTTGTAAACAAGTTAAATGAACATTTCTCGTTAAAATCTCTAGGTAAAGTAAACAAATACCTTGGTGTACAAATTAACAAAACTAGAAGGGGTTTCAAACTTACTCAGAAAGATAAGATTATTGAACTTCTAAACAAATGCAATTTAAACAATGCCAAGCCCTGTGACACTCCTATGCAAACTGATTTTCTCAGAAATACTGATGAATCTTCCCCTGAATTCAAGGATAATACATTCTATAGATCAGTCATAGGTTCACTTCTTTATATATCTAATTGGACCAGGCCAGATATTGCATTACCACTCAATTTATTATCAAGGCACGTTAGTAAACCAACAATGTACCACTGGGAAGCTGTCAAAAGAATTTTAAGATACCTGAAAAATACATTAGACTTTTGTCTAGTATTAGAGCCTAGTGATAACAAAGAACCAAGACTTACATGTTACGCAGATGCGGATTGGGCTGGAGATACATCATGCAGAAAAAGTACTTCTGGTTATGTTTTTCTGTTAAATGACTGTCCAGTTTACTGGTACACTGGTAAACAAGAATTGGTAGCCACTTCAACTACAGAAGCGGAATATGTTTGTTTATCCAAAGCTGCAAATAATCTTGTATGGTTTAATGATTTAATTTCAGATGTTTGGAAAAAACCTGCTTTGCCTTTTATTATGCATGAAGACAATAAAGCGGCCATTGAAATATCTAGATCCGATGCCATTGGACAAAGATCCAGGCATATAGATATAAAATTTAAGCATGTGAGACAATTGTCCCAAGATGGATTTATCAAAGCAGTACATTGCGATACCTCTGAACAATTGGCTGACATATTGACGAAGCCTTTACCTTCTAAACAGCACAAATACTTAACTTCCAAATTGTATGTCCTATATTGTCCTGAATCTGAATGTAATTGGTGTTGTATAGGGAACCGGCATTTAGAGGGGGATTTGTCAGATGTAAATGCCTTATTCCCTAATGTGTAAATAATGTATATATGGGATATCAGGGGTTAACTTATTCTTTGTTTCTTAATGTATTCATAATTCACCACTCCCACTATTGGCTCCACCCTTTGTATATATAAGGAGCCACCTTCGCCATTTTTTCCTTGCTTCTATCTGTGAATATTCAGTGAATATAGAATGCCTACTATAATTAAAGAGAACTATATTTGAACCTCTAATTCTAATTATTATTATTGAGTCTGATCCTAAAAATATTGCAACAATCCAGCTGTTGTCATGGCTGAGATAAGTAGGATTTGCTCATCAGGAAATGTTTACTCGAGGTGTATCCAAGATGAGCAAACTTCAGCTAAATTGTAGAAGCTGCTGCTTCTTTGACAAGTTACACACAGCATCCACTTTTATCTTTGGGATGGGGTCCAAGAGCTTATTTTTTCTAATTTCAACCTTTTTCCTCTTTTCAATTAGTTAGATGTTGTTTTTAACAGGATTTATTCAATTCTAGCTTAATGCCTGCTTCTTTTTAAAACAAAACTATTAGCCATCTTGGGCGTTCTCCAGGACAGAACAGCAGGACATAAATTAAGGCGTTCAATAATAATAAAACTTTCAGAATAAAAAGACCACATCTTAGCAGAGATACGACAGTGGTCTATTGCTCCATTAAGCCACCTCCATGGCAGGTTAAATATTCCAGATTCATGGGAGCACATAATGAAATCGTTTGTGACATTTGCAAATTGTTATAACGCGTGTGATGTCATTATTTTCATTTATTTATATATCCCGCTTTTATTATTTTTACAAATAACTCAAGGTGCTGAATATATAACACACTACCGCTGTGGCTTCTCATGGACACTTATGGCCAGATTTAATCTTTACAAGTGACCACTTACTTCAGACACGAGGCTCTCCTGTTGTTCCGGAATACCATCAATTTCGGCCGCATGATCAAGATGCTCCATGCTCTTTGGAAGAGATGTACAAGCTATTTTCAAAGGAATGTTTTCTCAGAATGACTGTCCTCAAGGTGCTTTTATTTTTTCAGGAGGCAACTGGACTTTCTTGTTTTTTTCTTTGAAGACATTTCGCTTCTCATTTGTTATTGAGGGTATACTCAGAAAAAAAGCACCTTTGCAACATCCATGACCTGGATGACTGAGAATCTCTACAGACTCAGAATGACTGATTTAATGTTTCCCTTGGCTCTATAATCTGCAAGGGACACACAACAGTGATCAAGCCATGGTTTTATCATTGTTTATCAACTGAATTTTGGACCACATGCAAAGCATAGGTAAAGGTAAAGGTTCCCCTCGCACATATGTGCTAGTCGTTCCCGACTCTAGGAGGCGGTACTCATCTCCGTTTCAAAGCCGAAGAGCCAGCGCTGTCTGAGAGGTCTCCATGGTCATGTGGCCAGCATGACTAAATGCCAAAGCGCATTGAACGCTGTTCCCTTCCCACCAAAGGTGGTCCCTATTTTTCTACTTGCATTTTTTACGTACTTTCAAACTGCTAGGTTGGCAGAAGCTGGGTCAAGTAACGGGAGCTCACTCCGTCACGCGGCACTAGGGATTCCAACTGCCAACCTTCTGATTGACAAGCTCAGCGTCTTAGCCACTGAGCCACCACGTCCCTTTTCGCAAAGCATAAGCCATGGTTAATCAACTGCAATGGCTGGGCTCCCAAATTATGTCGAGCCCAAACCAAGCATCAGAGATGTCTGCAGAAGAATAAAGGAAATTAAGATGGCAGCCAGAACGTAATCGAAGTCATATCTATGTACATTGGACATGCTATGCATGTATACAGGTAGTCCCTGACTTATGACCACAACTGAGCCTGAAATTTCCACTGCAAAGCAAGACAGTTTGGGAGTTTTACCCCATGATGCGACATTTCTTGCCATAGGGGTTAAGGGAATCATTTGGTCATTAAGCAAAACTGGCTTCCCCCCACTGACTTGGCATGTTGGGAGCCAGCTGGGAAGGGTACAAATGGGGATCATTTGATCCCAGGACAGTGCAACCGTCATAAATACCTGCCAGTTGCCAAGGGTCTGAATTTTGATCACATGACCATGGGGATCTGCTAGAGCAGGGGTCTCCAACCTTGGCAACTTTAAGACTTGTGGACTTCAACTCCCAGAGTTGAAGTCCACACAAAGCTGGCTGAGGAACTCTGGGAGTTGAAGTCCACAAGTCTTAAAGTTGCCAAGGTTGGAGACCCCTGTGCTAGAGTCTGAAGTGTGAAAACTGGTCATAATTCACCTTTTTCAGTGCCGTTATAACTTTGAACCATCACTAAATGAATGGATGCTATTAGAGGACTACCTGGGATGGATTGGGACTTTAAATCATGTGGTGGCTCTCTTCTTGATTTTTTTCCCCACACGCTTCCCGAAAGAAACCAAACTGTGCCCTAGGATTATATTCCATTGATCTGTGCTCTGCTTTTAACTCTGAAAACAGACTTCTTCTGCTTGACAAAGATCCATACCCAGCTTATCTTGATACAAAGGTTTATTTCTCTTTATGTACAGTATTTTTATTTAAAAAAACCAACATTATATATAGCATAGAAAGGGGCGGCTCCTAGGCATCTGAATAACAATTTTTTATAAAAAAAAATCTCTGGACAGGGCATGTAAACTTGCTTTATTGAACTATTTGCTTTGTAGGTTTGTGCGTGCTCAGTATCCATAGATTTCTCTTCCAAGCAAAGACACTTAAATCAACCCCGTTCAAAGCTGGTCTAGGTTGCTTCTGAATATCGTCTAACTCAGTGTTTCTCAATCTTGGTAGCTTGAAGGTGGGTGGACTTCAGCTCCCAGAATCCCCCTGCCAGCAGCACTGGCTGGGGGATTCTGGGAGTTGAAGTCTACCCATCTTCAAGCTTCCAAGGTTGAGAAACACTGGTCTAACTATAAACCAGCAGTGGTTACCCCCCTTCCCAAAGACTCTACCCTTCCCTTTCTCATCCTGGGCTTGTCTGCCCACATCTCCCAGGCTCTGCTGGCATGGAATTTGTCTAGCCATCCTATCAATGAATGAATCAATCAAAAAACAAACAAACAAACAGGGGGATGGGAAATGTAAATTACTATATTCCCAGGATAGGAAAGCTCCCCTATATTCCCAGGATAGGATAGCTCCCCGGAGGTGCAGCTTTGATATAAAGATGTCTCATGAACCACAAAGGACTCTATGAAGAAAATCATGGTCCTTAAGCAAAGACAATATGGTCAGTGGGTGGGCTTTGCTTGCTTCACTGGAAGGACCCCAGTGAGTGGAAGCCCATGGCGAGGAAAGGATACGGGCCTCCAACTCATTTACTTGCTTCCTCATGGTCAATGAACTCATCCTTCTCTCTGCCAAACTACATCATTTCAGTTCCCAAAACCCTAGGTTGATTTAATCGTAAATCTCAAGGTTGAGAAAAGGTTGAAGAAACCCGAATTAAGTTGCTGAAGTTCTATGGCGTTGCTCTTCAGCACCACGGGCAGCAGATGGCACCCTTGGGCAGTTGCCAACCTTCTCTTGGACTAAAGCCGGTCAACCTTGGCAATTTAAGACCTGTGAACTTCAACTCCCAGAATTCCCCAGCCTGAGGAATTCTGGGAGTTGAAGTCCACAAGTCTTAAAGTTGTCAATGTATGGTGAGCTTGGACAACCTTGGTCTCAAAAGTCCCATGGTGGACCTCTCGTCACAAACTGTTTGTCATTTGCTTAGCAATTTTTCTGCTTCTCATTCTTTTGCTGAGGTGCTAAGGAATAGCCACTGCGGCCTGCTTTTTCTCTGACCTAGTCCATCAAATCATAAGCCATACAGTGATGATCCGTTCTAGAACCATGATTGAAATAAGCAATAAAGCTGATTTCTCAGTAAATCTGCATAGCTTTACTATCAGCCCAGTGCAATGGAATAGTTCAGGTGTTTCAGCAATTTGCAGTGTCTTGGCCATATTTCAAATTACAGGGAGAGAGGGAAATGAAAGGAAACTCATTTTTCACCCTCTGGTTCTATAGGGCAGGCTTCATTGTAGCTGTTTTTAGACAGCTACAACACTTACCTTCTACGTTTCTACTGAAGCACTTCTTAGGACAGTCTGGAGAACCAGAAGCCCTCCAGATGTTCCTGGACTCCAACTTTCAATGGTCCCAACTAACAAAGACAGTGATCAAGGATAATGGCATTTTAATCCAACCATATACCTGGAAGGCCACAACTCCAATATCCCTTTATTGTCATTGAAATCATAGCTTCCTTCCAAAAAATATGGATAGGGTCCTATGAATGAGCTATGGCGGATTCCTCAACATGCCTGCCAGGGTTCAAGATTAAGAGGATTCTTGTGCAGAGGGAGAAAAAAAGTTAGCGGGTGAATAACTGGGATATGGATACCAGGTAAGGCAGCCGTTTCCTCCAAATTTGCTAGGGCTGTAATTGCTGGCTAGGAATTTTGGACACTGCAGTCCCAGCACATCTGGTAAGGAACATCTGGAACGGCTTCCAGTTGACAAGCAAAAATCATTAATTTTCAAGGGATGGTGCACAAGCCCCCATCTGGTAAGGCGCGTCATCTTATTGTCAGAAGGCACCATGTGGCTATGGAACAGACACTTCACAGTTCCACAGTAATCAGCTCAGACACTCTCTCCTTCTGTAAACAGGCTCCAAAGCCATCTTGGCACACACCTTTCCCTTACGGTTGTCCTAGACAACGCTGTCTGCTTCCCTTATGCCCCGGCGAATTAGGGCTGTGTCCTGACCCATCCCCTTTTTTTGAAGTGCATCCCCCAGCGTATCGTTTCAGAGCCAAGCTGACCCTCCCGAGAAAGAGGCTGACATTGATTGATCTACCTATAATGGATCCTGCCTACATGCATTCTCCTATCATAGTTGTAACTCATTGGTTTCAAACATGATATCCAGATAGTCACAAATTCAGAGCATGAGGGCTAATGAGGAAGGAGGAGAAAAATCATGCCCACTGTTCATATTATGGCCATGTCGCAGAATGTTGAAGGGAAGGAACAAAGTCCAGATCTTGCAGGACTTCAACGTGCTTATCAAACCCAAATTGTTTGGCCAACGGCATCAGGACAGTTGGGAGTTCCACAGCAACTGGAAGCCATGTCTGATGTCTCCAACTTTCAGAATTCCCAGCCAGCATAGTCCTTGCATGCTGGTGAATTCTGAGAGATGCGGTCACAATATATCTGGAGAACACTGGTTGCAGGATGGCTAGGTAACTTCATTGTGCAAATTTCTTTATAATATGGCCCTGAGGCCCTCCTGCCTTTATCCTTCTAGGCTGCAGTAGGGTTAGGGAAAAGGTGCACTCAAACATTTGGGGCTACAACTCCCCCACAGTCCATTGTTGTGGGCTGGAACCAATGGGGCTGAAGTACAAAACCTCTTCGGAGAACCACAAGGGTTCTCTTAAGGGCCAAAGGTTCTCCAGTTAACACAGAAGTAACTTAATTAAGAGACTATTAAAGAAACAGAACCTCTCCTCTGGCCCATCTAAACCCTCACTCCTCATCATCTCCATCTTTTTTTAAAAAAAAAAAATCTCCAAAAATTGGCCTGGCATCTATTTGGGATGAGTCAGAATTTAAAACACAAAACAACGATGATAAAAAAAAAAAAAAATTGCAATGCCTCTTTCCCACCCCTCGAAGGGAATAAAATTAAAATGAAAAAAGAAAAAGAGTCTAAGCCCAGTTCTACAAGGTGGGACCCTCAGTTCCTGGCCCTGGGTTGGGAAGAGATTTCCGCAGTGTGTCCCAGTTTCCCACCACACTTGAGAGAGTTCCCCATGGGGATTGTGGGGGTGGGGAGCTCTCCATGGTCACCATCCATCAGTTACAGTTGTTGTCTCCTGGCTGATACTGAGGCTCTGTAGCAGTGAAGTAGTCTTCTAGAAACGATTGGAGGTATTCAAAAGTGGGGCGCTCCTCAGGCTCCTTCCTCCAGCACTGCACCATCAGATCGTGCAATGACGGGGGGCAATTCCCAGGACAGGGCATGCGGTAACCCCGTTCCACTTGTTCCAACACCTCCCGGTTGTTCATGCCTGCACGAGAAGAACATGACAAGATAAAAGACTTAATGGGGGAGATGGCCCTCTTGTGAGTCTCTAGGATTCAAGGGAGAGCGAGTTTGGGAGAGTGGTTAAAGCATCAGCCTAGAACAGGGGTGGGCAACTGTGGCCCTTTTACAACCTGTGGACTTCAACTCCCAGAATTCCTGAGACAGCCAAACTGGCTCAGGAATTCTGGGAGTTGAAGTCCACAGGTCATAAAGGGGCCATATTTGCCCATCCCTGGCCTACAAACTAGGAGACCATGAGCTCTAATTCCATCTTAGGCAGGGGTGTCAAACTCAATTTCATTGAAGGACACGTAAGGGCTGTGGTTGACCGGGGGGGGGGGAAGAGAACTGGGTGGGTGTGGCCAATTGGGTGGGCATGGCCAGCTTTATGCCACTCACCGGGTATGGCTGACTGGGTGGGCGTAGCCAGCTTGACACCATTCCCCAAACTGCTGGTATGTTTCCTCTGCGTATTGGGTAGACTGGGCCGAAGCAACTTGGGTAGATCAGGCCAAAGTGATGTGGGCCGGCCCCTTACATTTTCCAGGACAGCCCCGCGGGCCTAATCCAACCACATCGTCGGATCTGGCCTGTGGGCCTTGTGTTTGACACCTCTGATCCAGAGGTGGTATTCAGTAGGTTCTGACCAGTTCTGGAGAATCAATAGCAGAAATTTGGAGTAGTTCAGAGAACCAGTAAATACCACCTCTAACTGGTCCCGCCCCCATCTAATGTCTGCCTCCTGAGTCCCAGCTGATGGGGAGGAAATGGGGATTTTGCAGTAACCTTCCCCTGCCATGCCCACCAAGCCACACCCACAGAACCGGTAGTAAAAACATTTGAATCCCACCATGGTCCTGATCTTAGGCATGAAGTCAGCTTTGGGCTTCTCATTCCCTCTCAGCCCTAAGAGGTAGTCAAAGGTAAATCACTTTTGAAATTGTTGCCAAGACTGACTCAAAGGCACAGAAACACATAGACGGGCACACAAAATTAAAATCAAGGAAAGGACTAGTGTGCACAAATTCACAGGGGCTGCAAACAGATGAAATGGGGACATGATCCACTGCAAAATTTGGTAAGTCAAACCACATCAAGCTGGGTTGGCGCAACGTATTGATTCAAGCGTGCAAAATATGTGGTCCCCAGACCCCAACAGAATAGGGAGCTAAAATTTGGCCTTTGGGGGGATTTTTTCCAGAGTTTGTGAAGTTCTGAGAGGCAAAAAAAAAATAATATGTGCTTTCAATCTCTTCTTTAGCCTCCCAACCTCTAATCCACACAAATCAGGTTAACTCTGAATCTGGGCCCCAATGACTTTGGGAATCAATCGGCCGCATGAATTCTGGGATGGCCTTCAAGGCTGTAGAAATTGCTCAGTCATAAGCTGAAACAGGAACTGATTCACCAGTGTTTATCAAATAAAGCACGGCAGATTAGGCTCAGATAGTACCTCATACAAGAAGCTAAAAGCTGCTAAAATTGCAGCAATTGCAATGACTGGATGTTTAACTCAACCCAATCCCACCCCCACCCCCACCCCACCCAACGATGTTATGGTTTAATGGATTATGCAAACCAAAGGGTGATTCTATTTGAAAAGAAGATTTCTGGCATCAGTGAGTATTGCAACAATTCATCTCTAGGCTAAAGGAAGCCTCTGCCACTTCACCTGGATATGGTACTCGGCCCTTGGTCACAAGCTCTGTCAGGAGGATGCCGAAGGACCACACATCTGACTTGATGGTGAATTTGCCATAGAGAGCGGCTTCTGGAGCTGTCCACTTGATGGGAAATTTGGCACCTGTTGGCAAGGCAAGGCGATGGCATTAATAGAATAGAATAGAATTCTTTATTGGCCAAGTGTGATTGGACACACAAGGAATTTGTCTTGGTGCATACGCTCTCGGTGTACATAACAGAAAAGATACATTCATCAAGAATCATAAGGTACAATACTTAATGATAGTCATAGGGAAACAGTCAATATAAATCTTAAGGATACCAGCAACAAGGTTACAGTCATACAGTCATAGGTGGGAGAGATAAGTGATAGGAATGATGAGAAGATCAATAGTAGTGCAGACTTAGTGAATAGTTTGACAGTGTTGAGGGAATTATTTGTTTAGCAGAGTGATGGCGTTCGGGAAAAAACTGTCCTTGTGTCTAGTTGTTCTGGTGTGCAGTGCTCTATAGTGTCGTTTTGAGGGTAGGAGTTGAAACCGTTTATGTCCAGGATGTGAGGAGTCTGTAGATATTTTCACAGCCCTCTTTTTGACTTAAGAGGTTAAGATCGTACCGAGGGAGATGCCACCTGGATGTGAAAGTTTCCTACATTCTCCACCGTGGGAGAAACATGTGAATTGAAAATGGACTTCTTAGCACAGATCATACCAGCCTCCCCTCCCCCACTCAAGAAACAGAGTCAGCCAAGAGAAAGTGTTCTTAATTTATGTTGTCAGAAGCCTCAAGCACCAATCTGGACAATCAAAGAACAAGCCCCTCTGACCAGGAAGGCTTAGAAGGGAAAAAGGCTAAGGTTGACACGCCAACCACAGCTTTTGCTTCCAAATGTGAACTTCATGTACAAGCAATTCAGAAAATAACTTCTTGCCAAGTTAACGGCCCTCATGAGAGAAAAGTCACTGAAGAAATTTATCTATAATTGGAAGCTCTTTGTGGACTTTATTTTTTCCCTCCCAGGAGATGGAGAAAAATCAAATTTTGCCACTTGGATTTGATGATTGTTAAAATTTAAAGAGAGAAAAAAGGTTTTTTTTTTTTTAATTTCCCCTTTTCTTTTTGGGGAAAAATGGACAAGTGTCCATGGACAAAAGAAAAGGGGAAATTAATAAATTAAGAGTCAAAAGTACCGGTAAGTGTTATCTATGTCCTTGGAAGAAGTCAGAAGTTATTCTTTTTATGTTTGTGTTTTTCTTCTCCTTTTTAAATACTTTTCCACACTTCTACCCTTATTCTCTTTTTACTCTGTCATTTCTTTGGATTGTTAGTTTGTGGTGTTTTTTTATGGGTATGTTTTCTAAAATGGAATAAAATTATTTAAAACAGGGGGAAAAGAGTAAATAACTTCTTGCTTGCTTTCTTCCGTTTTCGGTATAGAATGGGGGAAGCTGTTATTTTGTGAAGATCGTCCGGTTTGCATCCGGATGTGATTTTATACAACAGCCATCTGGACTGTGAGAATCCAGTTTTTGCATGGCTAACATTGGGCTCCAGGCTGGAGATCAGCCACATCCTTCCAGATCTTAATGACATTTGTGGTGTAGTCCACTCTGGAAGTACCACTGATTTTCCAATTCTAGACTCACTACTCCTACTGCAAACTTCAGACTGCTTCTAGAATATTTTATCCAGTTCTGAAGCACCACATTGCAGGAAGGATATAGGCAGGGATGCTATTCAGCAGGTTCTGACAGGTTCTGGAGAACCAGTAGCAGAAATTTTGAGTAGTTCGGAGGACCGGCAAATACCACCTCTGGCTGGCCCCAGATTGGGGTGGGAATGGAGATTTTGCAATATCCTTCCCCTGTAGTGGGGAAGGAATGGGGATTTTGCAGTATCCTTCCCCTGCCACGCTCACCAAGCCACGCCCACAGAATCAGTAATAAAAAAAATTGAATTCCACCGCTGGATAAAGGTAAGTTTTAGAAAGGGCTTCTGAAGGTCATTTGGTTGCCAGGGGGAGCATTGTACAGAGACCATTGCTCAGTGAAATTGTTTTCACTGTTTGCAAGAGAAGGACAGGCACAGTCGGGAGGTGGAGTCAAGAGAGTGATCAGCGTAGAGTTGTTATGTTCTCACAGTCTAAGCCCAACCCCTCTTGAATTCTATTGACTCTTTATCTAGTGCAAATTTAATGCTGGCCATTAGTTGACTAGATTCTTGTGTATAGGCATGAGCCATAAATAAGATTAACTGTAGCTTAACGGGTAGTCCTGATTCTTTATGCCCGACAGCCTTGCACAAAGAAATCCTCAGCTTCACTTGTGGCACCTCCTGCTAAAACGGCACCGAGAAAAGCTCTCTCCTCCCAAGAGCGGAGACAGCATCTGCCAATCAATGGTTAATTGCACAAATAGCTTCGCCCGCTTAAAGGTGAACTCTTTCTCCTGCTCCAGGGTGCCCCTGAGAGTTTTACCTTGGCGAGCTGTGTATTCATTGTCTTCAATGAGGCGGGCCAAGCCGAAGTCAGCAATTTTGCACACAAGGTTGTCGCCCACAAGGATGTTGGCAGCACGCAGATCCCGGTGGATGTAATTCATTCGCTCAATGTAAGCCATTCCAGCTGCAATCTAGATTGTGTGCAGAAGCAGAAAGGCAGGGATGAGATCACACGGGAGACTTAATGGTTGCCGCTCCTCCTGTTCTCAATAGATCCTGGGCAGCTTTCTCTCCCCTCCCCCCTCTCTCCAATGGAGTCAGAAAATGCTGCTCCCGATTTTCAGACAGACTGACCACTGAGACTGCCTCCTGCCCATCAGGTTACCTGTGCTGCCATGTCCACCAGTTGGGGCAACTTCAAGAAACGGCCATCCCCATCTTTCAAAAAATCTAGCAAACTACCTGTAGAAGAGAAGAGGTGGGAGATCGGCAAAGCCACTTCTCGGTGGGATGCTTATATTAACATGTTTCCCCAAAATAAGCCCTATCCCGAAAATAAACCCTATCATGGTTTTTGCGCATGCGCCCAATATAAGCCCTACCCCAAAAATAAGCCCTACTGAAGCACCTGTGCAGCTGGCCACCCACCCATTCTATTTGGTTGCTTGTGGTGCCGTGGCTGCGAGTCAAGTTGAGGGGATGGAGCTGCCCCACACGCTCCACACTGGATTATCCCAGGGCCCCTGCAGCCAGGCCATTCATGCCCCAACACCTGCCTCACTTCGCATGCCCACAATGGACTAGGAGGCCGAGCCAGTGCTGCAGCCACGAGGCAGGTGTCAGGACATGGATGGCTGGCTGCGGAGGCCCTGAGGTAAGCCAGTGTGGGGTATGTGGGCCAGCTCCCCTCCCAAAACTCACCTTGCAGCCATAGCACTCACACATCACTCAGCCTCCTGCTCCGTATTGGCTGCACAAGCAAGCAGAAGAAGTGGGCCGGCGGCCACGCAAGGTCCTGCTGGAAGGGGTTGTTGGAGCCACTGCCGTGAGGCAAGGCAAATGTCAAGGTGTCAGTGGCCTGGCTGCGGGGGCCCTAAGGTAAGCAGGTGCGGGGTGCGTGGGGCAGCTCTACTATCCCTGCCTCACGGCAGTGGCACTAGCACGCTGTGCGGCCTCCTGCCTTGCTGTGAGCAAGCAGAAGTTGGCCTCCCATGTACTCTTAAAGTACGGGGGGGGAAATAAGACATTCCTGAAAATAAGCCCTAGTGCTTATTTTGGAGCCCAAAAGAAAATAAGCCCGGGTCTTATTTTTGGGAAAACACAGGTATAATTCATTTGCAGCAGTGGTCTACTGGCTGCTTACTCCCATTCCCATCTATTCCTTCTTAGATCAAATTATTTGTGAAGGACACAGGATCTGTGCATCTGAGACAAAACAATGGAAATCCATTCCCCATTTCTCCCAACCTTCTACTCTAAATGCATCAGGACTACAGTTCCCATCAGGCCAAGCTCCAGAAGTCTAGTAACATTGAAGGGTGCCAGGTGAAGGAACGTGAGCTAGTATACAGGCGAGTATGTTCTCAGATTGGTGGACCCATTTGAAATCCTGAGGACTTGCCAAAACAGCTGGTATGATGAACGTGGAGGTCGCAAAATCTGAAATTCAACAGCTGGATCTACTCTTCAGCACTTTGGAGATCTTATCCCTAGGCTACTTTGGGAAGGGGAGGCTGAAGGAAGGATGGAGCTTAATGGCCAAGTGCATGCATAAGCATGAAACCGGAGCACAAACTCCAGTTTTCATGATCCTAGAATTTTCATAGGACTGACGTTGAAATAATGATGCTGCATCTTCCTTTGCAGGGTGCCAGGTTCCTATTTAATTTGAATAGGCTCACAGGTACCATGTTGCCTATGCCATATCACTTGCCCTTTCTAGAGAAAGGAACATACCATTACCTTGGATAGGGGGATCTCAAGAGGAGAAAGTGGTCCATGGCTCTCTCCATGGTGCTGCTGTCTCCATCACCCATTGATAACACGATATTCCTAACATGTGGTCTTCCATCCAGGTTAGTAAGTGGGTTCTGTTTAATGTCAGTGGTGACCTACACATGGCCTTCATTCTGAGTCAACTGTCTGAACCCTGGGCATCTTTCTGATCCTAAGCCCATGAGCTCAGGTGTCATTTTGGTAGCCCTGGATGGATATTCCATTTGGAGGCAATTTTCTTGAATCAAGTCTCCCTAAACTGACTCTCATTCGGACAACTCTTGTTGCTGAATGTGCACATCTAAGAAGGAGGTGCTTGATTCGGACAATTTGGTGTGAACAAATGCAAGCCACTGGATCAAAATTGCCGAAGGGACTCAAACCTACTTGATGGTTCAATTGAATCAACAGTTCCTACTTCACCCAATTCACAGAGGCCTGTTGGTTGGCCCCTTTGCCACCCACCCATCTAGAGAGGGGTCACTGTCTGCTGGAGGCAGCTTATCTAACCTTGGCTCATGAACTCAGTAACAATGTAAATGGGCTCTTCTGATACCACAGCATACAGTTGCACCAGTTTGTCGTGCCGTAAGCGCTTCATGATCTGGGCTTCCTCCAGGAAAGCTTCTGGAGACATGGTTCCAGGTTTCAGCGTCTTCACCGCAACTTTGGTGGTGCCGTTCCAAGTGCCTGGAACCAGCAAGAGCCAGTGTTAGAGTCACCAAGGATAGAGACAGTAGGGTCCCAGAACCTGAGGTCTCCCTCATGCCAATGTTATGGAAATGGACAGGGCTGAAAGAAGTCCAGGTTCAGCGTCCTCCAACCCAGTGCTCTCCAGATGCATTGGGACGCCAATCTCTAGAATATCTAGCCAGCAGGTCTAAGATGGGTCCATGATTCTTGGAATACCCGCCAATCATCTCGGGAGCACAAAGTTAGGGACAGCTGACCCCGAACAACTAAAATGAGATGAACAACAACAAAAATGAGATGGGGAAGAAGAAATGATGGGACAGGAATGCCTCCACACTGAGGACTTCAATTCAAAAGAAGTCATTTCCCGTAGCTGACATTTCCTTGGCTATGTGTGGCGTGGTGGCCTAGTGGTGAAGATGCTCGCCTCCCACTCGGAAGGTTGAGAGTTCAATCCTAAGTAGCAGCAGATATTTCTCTCCTGGGGTGCAAAGAAAAAAATATCTGCTGCTAACTTCGGGTGGTGTCAGGAAGGGCATCCGACCAGTAAACGCTCAGCTTCATCCAGTTGCCCTGACTACAAGTGGTCCTTGAGTTAAGACCACAATTGAGCCCAAAATTTATGCTGGCAAGTGAAACATTTGTTAAGTGAATTTGCCCCATTTTACAACCTTTCTTGCCACAGTTGTTAAGTGAATCATTGCATTTGTTAAGTTAGTAACACGGTTGTTAAGTGAATCTGGCTTCCCCATTGACTTTGCTTGTCAAGAAGGTCGCAAAAGGAGATCGCATGACCCCCATGACACTGCAACCGTCATATATGAGTCACTTGCCAAGCATTTGAATTTTGATCGCATGGCCATGGAGATGCTGCATTGGTCATAACTGTGAAAAACAGTCATAAGTCACTTTCTTCAGTGCTGTTGTAACTTTGAACGGTCACTAAATGAACTGTTGTAAGTCGAAGAATACCTGTATACCTCGAATTAAAGGATTACAGGGTCATAAAAAGGGAGTTTATGTGCATCCTTCTTAAGGTTCAGGTTTCCAAATTAGTCTTCATCTAGCACAGTGTTTCTCAACCTTGGTAGCTTGAAGATGGGTGGACTTCAACTCCTAGAATCCCCCAGCCAGCAACGCTGGGGGATTCTAGGAGTTGAAGTCCACCCATCTTCAAGCTACCAAGGTTGAGAAACACTGTGCTAGCAGGAGCTACTCTGTGGGTTGACTTCTTTTTAACAGATGCCAACAATTGTGCAGTTGTGCAGATAATCCTCGACTTAATAACCATTCATTTAGCAACTGTTCAAAGTTTCAATGGCGCTGAAAAAAAGTGACTTAGGTCCAGTTATTGCACTTACGACTGTCACATCGTCATGGTTATGTGATCCAAATTAGGATGCTTGGCAACAAATATATATATATGTATGTATATTTTTAATTTGATTTATATGCCGCCCTTCTCCGGAGACTCAGGGCGGCTTACAATGCGTTAAGCAATAGCCTTCATACTTTTGTATATTTATACAAAGTCAGCTTATTGCCCCCACAAACTGGGTCCTCATTTCACCTACCTTAGAAAGGATGGAAGGCTGAGTCAACCTTGAGCCTTGGAGAGATTTGAACCAGCAGTAAATTGCAGGCAGCTGTGTTAATAACAGGGTGCGTAGACCACTGTACTATCAAGGCTCTTATATTTATGTCAATAGCAATAGCACTTAGACTTATGTATCACTTCACAGGGCTTTACAGCCCTCTCTTAGCAGTTTACAGAATCGGCGTATTGCTCCTAACAATCTGGGTCCTCATTTTACCCACCTCGGAAGGATGGAAGGCTGAGTCAACTTTGAGCCTGGTGAGATTCGAACTGCCAAATTGCAGGCAGCCGGCAGTCAGCAGAAGTAGCTGCAGTACTGCATTCTGACCACTGCACCAAGCTCATTAAAGCATCTTGGAGTGATGTAATCACCATTTGGGACTTTCCTAGCTGGCTTCTGACAAACAAATTCAACGGGAAAAGCCAGATTTGCGTAACAACTGCATGATTTACTTAACAGCTGCAGTCATTTGCTTAACAATCATGGCAAAAAGGTTATAACTCACTTAACTGCTGCCTTGCTTAGCAACAGAAATTCTGGTCCCATTTGTGGTCATAAATCCAGGATTACCTGTATGTAGGACACCTCATGTTAACCAACACTGGACTAATAATAAATTCTCTAACTGCATCTTGGTAAACTGGAAACCTTGCTACTGGGGGGGGGGGGAATATAAAAGTAGGGGAAAAAATAGAAATGTATGTCATGGAAATTGGCTGGTATCTGGACTAGGAATTCTGCCCTGCAGTATTTTCTATAGGTCTTGTACTTTCAGTCTATGGGAAAGGAATATATGTCAACCTTGATGGGAGAAATATATGCTAATTAAGTCAGATGATAGCCACATGCTCTGGAGAAAAGATGTGGCTGCATTAGAGAGCTGCAGATGGGGATTACACTCCTGCAAGCTCTAAAGCAGTGGTCCCCAACCCCTGGTCCATGGACTGGCACTGGGCTACGGCATGCCAGAGACTGGGCCGCGCAAATAAGCAAAGCCCCATCCATGGGATGCAGGCAACCCGTGAAACCATGTCCACTCTGGTGCACGGAAAAACCTCTCTCTACAGAACCGGTCCCTGGTGCCCAAAAGGTTGGGGGCCGCTGCACTTAAGCACCTTCTTGGAACTGAATCCAATGCGCTACACAGCCCTAGTGTGTTCCCCTGAATGAAACAGAGAGGTAAGATTCATATTCTGATCTTCAAGCCCAGTCTGAACCTAAAAGGAACCCTTCTCCAGGGGAGGCTGCCCACCTCGTGCAAGTGTGCCCTCTAACAAAAAGAAACCCTGACCCCTTGCCTTACCCATCCACACATCTCCGAAACAGCCCATGCCAAGCTTCTTGTCAAAGTGGATGGACTCGCGCCCGATCTCCCATGCATCTTTAGACAGTCCCACAGTCTGGGGCCTCAGGGTGGGGCAGATTTTGGTTAGGAGGTAGCAGAGACCGTCATTGAATTCTGTAAGGGGTGGAATGAGGGAGGGTGGACAGATGGGATGGAGTGAGATGGGAAAGCAGGATGATGAATGGAGCATGCATTCCAGGCAAGGAGGCTGGACTTTGGAGCGGAGGATGAGAAGGAGCAGAGCACAAGTAGCAATATTGCTTTCAACCACCAGGTGGTGCCCTTGGCTTACTTTGAAAGGATCAAGGACAGGCACTGCATTCCTGCACCTTCACTGCAAATGTTGAGCAGAGAATTTGGGGCATGGTCAGACTTGCAGCTGAAGTCTCCACTATTGTATTCTGGTCACCTTTAGATTCAGCTACTGAAATCAAATGCAGGCTATTTTCCAAATCCTGTTCAGAACACAGATCTAACATGGTAGCATCAAAAATTTGAGGCAAAATGTCCTCTGGTCACAGAGCAGTCTAACTTAAGATCGCCAGGCACCGTCTGGACCACTTCCACATTGTCTTCCAAGACTTATAAGAAGACTCAGACCAAACCCCTATCAAATTCTACATTCTCTTCTTACCGGAGAAGCCATCCAGATGCCATGGGTTAAGAAAGCCACAAGGAGCACATGGTTATAATAATGCTCTCCCTTCTGGTAAATCAAGAGACATGTGCTTTCTCCCATGCTGGAGCTTAGAAAGAGACTCGGAATTCGTAAACACTGTTCAGCTCTTTCCATTGTGGATTTATCTAACTCTCCTTGAAAGGCTTCCAAGTTGGCAGGCATCCCTACCTCTGGTGGCAGCGAGTTCCGTGGTTTAACTACCTATTGTTTGGAGGCCCTTCCTGTAATTCATCCTGTGGCTTCTCCCCAGTCCGTCTGCCCAGTGACTTTGCCATAGTGAAAGAAATTCAGCTATCCTGGGACAAAGACTGAAAGAGATGGACTCTCTCCATCCCTGCCAAGCCCCCTTTCTTGAGTGCCCGGGACCTGCCCGGCTTCCTTCTCTTCCTCCTCTCTTCCATCCAGCCTCCCGATGGTTGGTCGTACCAATCCACACTTCCCCGAATTGCCCATTGCCCAGTTTCTTGATGAGCTGCAGCGATTCGCGAGGAATCTCCCAGACGTCTTTGGTTTTGACGGACAGGTCTGCCAATTTGGGCATCCCCTTAGGGCACGGCACGGCCAGGCGGCAGCACAATCCTGCGGCTCTCTCTTGCAAAAGAAGCCCCCAAAACCCAGGGTGGGAGGGGGCCGAAGAGCAAGAGACGCATCATGGAAACAGGGAGGCAAAAGAGAGAGAAACAAAGGGTGGTAAGATGAAGGCGAACTGGAAAGGAACAAGAGGAACACCACTGTTCCACTCAATCCGCAGCCCCGAGAGAGTCATCAGTCCTTGCAGAAGGCAGCAGGGGACTGAAGCCTCATTACCCACCTGTTGAAGGGTTGATAAAACAGCTGCAGTTATTAGGTTTCCCATTTCCACCACCCCTTCCCAGTTCTAGGAAAGTCACAGCACTAGCAATCAGCACTTATAGCACCTATATACTTAGACTTATATACCATTTCATAGTGCTTTATAGCCCTCTCTAAGTGGTTTACAGAGTCAGCATATTGCCCCCAATAATTTGGGTCCTCATTTTAGCGACCTTGGAAGGAATGAAGGCTTCAGCCGGTCAGGATCGAACTCCTGGCAATGGGCAGAATTTGCCAGCAATACTGCATTCTAACCACTGTGCAGCCACGGCTCATATAAAATTGTGGAATAGAAAGGAACCTCAAAAGTTAACTCGTGTAACCAGTTGGACAGTGCAAGGTTCACCAACGCATTTCGGATAGACAATGTCCTAAAGAAAGATTATTTTGCTTTAAAACTTTTTGGGGGTGGGTGGGAAAGAACGATGGAGCCATAATTGAGAGCTGAGGAAAGTTGTGATTTGCTAACCATTCTAATCAAAGCTGCTAGTAGAGCCACTTTGTGTTAAACTCTCTTTTGGAGGAGGGATCAAAAATATCTGTTGCTGTTTTGTCGCACAACAGGAACTCTGGGGAATGTCTCAAATATCCTCACTTTGGCTAAACGCAAAATGCTGACGGTTGCTTTTTAGTTGAGCTTGCTACCTCGTCTGGCACCTTTTTCATTCCCCTTGCCGATAATTATTCCCCATCTTCTCTTCCCCTTTGGAAAGGAAAATAGGAGAGAAACCAAGAAACGGGGCGTTTTCAACGCAGTGCCAAAATGGGGAGTTTGACCTTTGCGAGTCTCTGCATGCAAAATTCAGGAGATGATCTCACAGCTGGTAACCTTGGATACTCTGGAAGAGACATCCATCAAATACGATTTTGCCCCTTTTTGTTTTTATTTGAGGGAGGTGATTCGTTACAGGTAGTCCTCGACTTAGGATGGCAATTGAGACTGGAATTTCCATCTCTAAAGTGATGCAAGTGTGAAAGCATTGCTTAGCAACAGCAATTCCTCTGGTCCCTCTTGCTGTCATTAACTGAATTCCCTCGGTGTTAGGCAAGGCAATTTCCTGCTGGCTTCCTTCAATCAAAATCAGTGGGGAAACCAGCAGGAAGTTGAAGTCCCAGGCCAGCAGGCAGGTAAGTGAAGGATGGAGGGAGGGATGTATGAGAATGCAAAGGGGTTGGGGAGAGTGTGTGGGGCGGGGGAGGTGCATGAGTGACTGGTGTATCATAAGCATAGAGGGCTGACGGAGGTTGTGCAATGGGAAAAGATTTAATTCTGGCAATTTGCAACCTTCTCTGTCAGTTTTCTCACTGACTTTCTGGGGAAGCCAGCAGGGAAAGCTGTAAACGGCAAACGTATGATTATGGGATGCTTGGCAACCAGTCATAAGTGTGAATTGGTTGCCAAGCATCCAGATCATGGTCATGTGACCATGGGGACGCTGGGACAGCCAGAATTCTTGAGAACTGTCTGTAACCACCATTCATTCAGTGCCGTTATAACTTGGAACAGTCACGGATCAAATGGTTATAAGTCAAGGACTACCTGTGGTTTTTTGTTTTTTTTTAATTTGATTTATATGCCACTCTTCTCTGGAGACTCAGGGCAGCTTACAATGCATTAAGCAATAGCCTTCATACTTTTGTATATTTATACGAAGTCAGCTTATTGCCCCCACAAACTGGGTCCTCAATTTACCTACCTTAGAAAGGATGGAAGGCTGAGTCGACCTTGAGCCTGGGGAGAATTGAACTCGCAGTAATTGCAGGCAGCTGGGTATTAAATGCTGCCTTAGGAGGCATTAGCCTCCTACGCCACTCAGGTGTAGCCACAGAACCCTGGCTAAATCCAGGTCAAGGCTACAACAGAAAAGATGGTTGGAACCTTACCCTTCCCTGAATCCGTTTTTTAAAAAAACATTCACTCTACTCTCTAGGGAGCTTCTCAGCCATCCAGGTCATGAAGTGAAACGTCTTCAAAGAAAAACCAGAAAGTCCAGTTGCCTCCTGAAAAAGCACTTTTGGGATTTGCTCTACTGGAACTGGGTCCTAATGGCTGCACAAGGCCGGAATTTTTGGCTAGCCGAAACAGCCTTGTTGGTTGCATAAACCCTGAGCATAGGATGTTGTGCGACTTCAGTCTGCTAGATTTATCCCTGAATCACGATGGAACAGCCCTAACGATCTTGAAGGCAGAGACAAAGGGCTCCTGAAAACATGAGTCCTAGCATTTTTTTAAAAAAATTAAATAACCTTCCACAACCAGCCTCAAAATGCAGGAATTGGCACCTGATTTTCCATCATTCTCCCGCCAGTCTCTTGCTGTAGAGAGCCATGGAGATGGCCTTGGAAAAAAATATTCAGAGGTTGTTACAAGAAAAGGTTTAAAAAAATTCCTTGAGATTAGGAAGACTCTCAGGCTGACTCTTCCCTGACTCATTAGAGCTGTGTTTCTCAACCCTGCCTGGTGGCTTCAAGATGTTTGGACTTCAACTCCCAGAATTCTCCAGTCAGCAAGGTTGAGAAACACTGCATTAGAGTACAAGGAGGAGGAGAGGAAAAACTTAATCAGACTTGCAAGGATCTGTTATTATTGCCACTATGTCAATAAAACTTAGTTCTAGTCCAGGGGTTGGTAACTTTAAATACTCAAAGAGCCATTTGGACCCATTTCCCACAGAAAAGAAAACACCAGGAGCCACAAAGGTCTAACCGGAAGCCCTCCCACGCCCCACCCCCATTCAATTCTGGAGCCGACCGGAAGTCCGCTTCCCCCACCATAGAAGTCTCCTTCTAGCACAGCACCATTTTTCCTCTACCTGTCCTAACTGAAAGCCCTATCAATTGTGGAGTTGACCGGAAAACCTGCCCCTTGCCATAGAATCTCCTCCTGGTGCACCATGCTACCCACCCACCCCAACTGGAAGGTCCTCTCAAAATTGTAGCACCAACCAGCGACAGGGAGCTGCAACAGAGGGATGAAAGAGCCACATACAGCTCCAGAGCCACAGGTTGCTGACCCTGAACTTTTGTGGACCCTGTTTCCTAATCTGGACAACTTTAAGAGGCTGACATGTTGATCTTTCCCACACCAATCTTAACACCTTGTCCCTCTCTTGAATCCATTGCTCTTTACCTCTGTAATGCTGCACCAGATATTGCACAGTCTCAAACTGGGTCCGGGTAGTGATGTAATAGCCACCGCTGTCCAGCTTCCGGATCTTGTAATGCTTGACGTGGTCTCCTTTTGTCTCATCCCAATCCCGGATAGATAATGAGTAGGCACCTAGGAAAAGGAGATGGGAAGCAGAAATGGATTATGTGTGGGCAACCTGACTTTGGCATCGTTGCTGAGCTCCAATCCTCCGAACCTTCAGCCAGAGAGGCCAACCGCAAGGCATGCTGGGGATTGTAGTTTAACCTCACTGGGATGGTTAACATCTTCCTTGCCTCTCCAAATGAGGACCTCAGTTAATAGAATGCTGATGGTGATATAGCGAAGATGACAACATTTTAGAGAATCTTGGAAGTCACTCATGTGCCCTTCGGTCTGATATAGGCTTATAATTAACCCAAGAAAGTTGTTCCATTTGTCAACCCTGAAGCTGGCCTGACTGAAGTCATTTTGAAGCTTTGGTATTGCCACACTGGAGCTGAGGGATAGGGAGAGGGGAATAGATATAGTGGGGTTTTGTAGCCAAAACAAAACACTTTCTCCTGGGAACCAAGGACATTCTCATACCTAGTCAGAGAGAGAGGAGGAATGATGTTACCAGGCAACCGGACGGCACCTTGATTGGACCATGTGACTGTTTGGGGAAGGGGGAAAACTTTCACTTTTAATTAGGTGAAAACCGCGGGAACCTTCAGAGTCGGTTTTCACCAGAAATGTGCCAGTATGATATACCCAATAAAACTATTCTTTGAAGAAACTACCTGCCTCGGATGTGGCGACCAAAACTGAATGCAGTTTTCAAAGTATGGCCTTACCAAGGCATTTATAAAGTAGTATTAGCACTTCAAGTGATCTTGGTTGTTTATGCCGGACAGTAAAACCCTAACAGGTTTGCAGTCTGACTACCTTAAAGAATATCTCCATCCCAAATATTCTTCCCTGAAAACCTCCAGTCCATATCTGGAGCCCTACCTCAATTTGCAACTGGTAGCAAGACAGGGACCAACTGGAAATAAAACGTTTTTCGTAGTGGCTCAAGTGTTTACAAAATCCCTTTCCAATTAAGCTCCAAGTATTTCTCTGTACACCATTTATTTAATTAGAGGAAAGGGAGGTCATATTGTTTTTGTTTACCCTTGTATAAGTGTGCACGCCCCAATCCTCATCAAGACCACTTTGCTTAGAGAAGGGGCTTACAATTTCCCCCCAACACCAGAACCCCACTGAAAATCTCAAAGCCCCTCATCCCCCAATAGATTTTATCTCTTTCCAAGTCTTTCTTTTCACTGGGTGGTCCTGCCTCGGACCACGATCTCACATATTTCCCCTAGTAGAAGCCGACTCTGAGCCTGTAACCATTGGAATTTCAGCCCTATAACAAAGCTACTCACCAACATCTATGCTATGTTTTGAGTTTGAGAGTATTTTATAGCATCCCCTTATGTGGCTGAGCTCATATTGTTTGTCATACTGGTTTTATACGTTTAGATATCATTCTAATACCACTCTATAAGGCCTTAGTAAGACCACACCTGGAGTATGCATCCAGTTTTGGTCACCACACTATATAAAAAGATGTTGAGACTCTAGAAAGAGTGCAGAGAACAGCAACTAAAATGATTAGGGGACTGGAAATTAAAAGATATGAAGAACGGTTACAGGAACTAGGCCTGGCTAGTCTAAAGAGAAGGACCAGGGGAGACATGATAGCAGTGTTTCAATATTTGTGGGGCTGCCACAGAGAGGAAGGGGTCAAGCTATTTTCCAAAGCACCTGAAGGCCAGGCAAGGAATAATGGATAGAAACTGAAGAAGGAGAGATTCAACCCGGAAATAAGGATAAATTTTCTGACAGGGAGAACAATCAACCAATGGAACAGTTTACCTTCAGAAGTTGTGGGAGCTTCATCACTGGAAGCTTTCAAGAAGAGACTGGAGTGCCATCTGTCAGAAATGGTGTAGGGTCTCCTGCTTGGGTGGGGGGTTGGATTAGAAGACCTACAAGATCCCTTCCAACTCTGTTAATCTGTTAAAGATCGGTGTTTCTCAAGCTCAGCAGCTTCAAGATGGATGAATTTCAACTCCCAGAATCCCCCAACCAGCACAGACATAGCTCTAAGTGTGAAAACACCACCCTCCACCTAGATTACTGACATTCTCATCTTCGTCGTTTCTAAAGCAACTTTTTTGTTATTGAATCTAATGAGACTAGGTAGAGACCAGGTGCAAGAGAATACTTTTTCTTCAGGCACTAGATGGGACTCCTGCAGACCAGAAGGCAGCAGCCTACGCTAGGAAGGCAAAATCGGGAAGCACTGCAGACGGTACTGCCCCCCACCAATGGCTTGCCAAAGGCAAGGGAAACAGGGTGACACCCCAGTGATACCTTTGGTGGTTTCACTCTCGCGGATGAGAAAGGTCCCCCTGGGGTTGCCATGGCACAGCAGCTGCCTCTCAGCATCCTTCCGTCCAATCTTCCCAAAGTACCACCTGGGAAGGAAGAGGAGATGTTCTGGATCAGTGTTTCTCAACTTTAAGGCACGTGGACTTCAACTCCCAGAATTCCCTGGCCTGCATTCAATACAACTGCCAGATTTCAGTAAACGTCCCTCCAAGCCGCTTCCTGACCCCTGTACTTACTCTTCTGCTTGGATCGAGTCCACAGGAGCCACGTAATTGCTGGGGATGTAGCCGGTGGATCCTGTGGTCAAGGAGCGTGCCTCCCACCAGTCACCCTCTCTGTAGCAAAAAAAAAGAGGGCAAAAACACAACATCAGTGACTCCCTGCTTGGAGTTTCACCAGCCAAAGAGTACAGAATCCAGAGAGCAGCTCAGTCAAAGGGAAGGAAAAACAGCTGTTGAAAAACAAATCAACCTTTTATTGCATGATTGTCAATCAAGAGTGGACTATATTGGACTAATTGGCCAAGAACCCTTGGGGTCCCTGTCTTCTTTTCACACCTGCAGTGAATCAACAGTAAAATCTGTGCAAGCAAGAGGAGCAGAGTTTTCCCTGCAACTTGCACACTATTGCTTGAGTTGCACATGGACATACCCGTACACCAGGGGTGGAATGCTACCGGTTCGGACAGGTTCAGGTGAACCGATAGTAATAAAAGCTACCAGTTCGGCTGAACCAGTATTTCCGACAATCAACTGTGCCGTGTAATTTATATTTGCTAGAAAGCAGGAAATCCTGCTTTCTAGTGAATCTAAATTGCGCGGCACAACTAAATTCCCCCCCTCACTGTTCTATTTACCTTAGAAAAGGCTTCTTAAACTTTCTTTTTCAGCGCTGCGCGGTAGCGCCTATAGTGTGCATCAGAGGTGGGTTTCAGCAGGTTCTGACCAGTTCTGGAGAACCAGTAGCAGAAATTTTGACCGGTAGTAAAAATTCTGACTGGCCCCACCCCCATCTATTCTCTGCCTCCTGAGTCCCAGCTGATTGGGAGGAAATGGGGATTTTGCAGTATCCTTCCCCTGGAGTCAGGCGGGAATGGAGATTTTACAGTATCTTTCCCCTGCCACGCCCGCCAAGCCACACCCACCAAGCCAAGCCACACCCACCAAGCCATGCCATGCCCACCAAGCCACACCCACAGAACTGGTAGTAAAAAATTTTGGAACCCACCACTGGTGTGCATGCGCGCAAAACACATGTTTGGCGTGCACTGCGCATACGCAGCAAACCAGTAGATGACCTCGGAGGATTTCACCTCTGCCATACACACACGCATATCAAGCTAAACTCAGCCCACAGCTGTCCCAGGTGTGCAATTCCACAGACAGAAGTTAAAGAAAGCTGGGCCTCTTCACTTCCTCGCTAAGACCGAGAGTTCCTCTTTCTTTATTTACATCCTGCCACGAAGAAACTGAAAGCGTAATAATTGCTTGGTAGTTCCCATCCAGAAAGTCAATGCAGTTTAGCTTCAGTAAGGAAGAGGTCCCGTGTTCCCATCATGTCAGAACCCAACACTTACGTATTGTTGATGATATGGAATTTCTCTCCCTTGATGAATGTCAAGTCATCTTCTGTTCTGGCTTCGTAATCGTACAACGCGATGAAAAGGGTCACTCCTCCACCTACAAAAAGAGAAAGATGGACCAAAAGAAGCTGGGTAGGACAAACTCAGCCCTGGACGCATTTATTTATTGTTTATTTATTGGTTTGATTTATATGCCGCCCTTCTCTGGAGACTTAGGGCGGCTTACAATGCGTTAAGCAATAGCCTTCATACTTTTGTATATACCTGCTTAGTAGGGCTTTCGGGGGGCCCCTAAGTGGTGTTCTTTTTTACACAAAGTCAGCTTTTTGCCCCCACAATCCGGGTCCTCATTTTACCTACCTCAAAAGGATGGAAGGCTGAGTCAACCTTGAGCCTGGTGAGATTTGAACTTGCAGTAATTGCAGGCAGCTGGTGCTACTTAACAGCACTTTAGTCTGCTGCACCACCAAGGCATTGCCATTGAGGGTATCCTGAGTCCGTAGAAAGACCCTCTGTCAGGGTAATGACAATTTAAAGCTGACCAGCCGCTACAAGGCTGTGGACCAGGATGACTCAGCAGGGTTATTGCCGCTTTAAGACTGAGGATGAGTCAGCAGGGTTATTGCCGCTTTAAGAAGTTGTTTATATAAAGGAGGCCATGAGAGGGCGTATCTCTCTCTTCTCATTTATTACTCTCCTTGTTGTGTTCTATCTGCATTGTAATTTTCCGTGTAGAGTTGAAGATTACTTGCTTGCCTGGTATGTGCCTACCACGTGTATGTATGTATCTAGAAGTCTTGTATATAAACCACTCTTTGTAAGACAAACCTCTGTATGTCCTGTATTTTGCTCCTGGGTTGTCTCAAAATAGTAGTCACGCTGTAAACACTTTGACACCCTCAATTCCCCCATTTTCTTGAATGGTTGGACAGAGATGGTGAAAAGTCACAGTGTTTTCCAATGGCTTGAAAATGTTCTCCTCTGCCTAGAGGGCCTTGTGTGGTTCTTCCTCTCAAATTTGTCTGGTACAATGGCTACTTCTGCTGACTGCCGGCTGCCTGCAGTTTGGCAGTTCAAATCTCACCAGGCTCAAGGTTGACTCAGCCTTCCATCCTTCCGAGATTGGTAAAATGAGGACCCAGATTGTTGGGAGCAACATGCTGACTCTGTAAACAACAACTTAGAGAGGGATGTAAAAGCCCTGTGAAGCAGTATATAAGTCTAAGTGCTATTGCTATTTTATTTTCATACAGCACCTAGGAGTGCTATTGTTTTGGGGTGTTTGGTTTTGCCTACAGGTCTCTCCATAGTCCTCCTGGCTACCCCTGAATAAGACTTAGCAATAGCAAAAAGTGCAGGGGTGAAGGTGTTGGACTGGGATCTTAGTGGTTAAAGTGTAGTATTGCAGGCAAACTCTGCCAACAGTCTGGAGTTCAAAGTTGACTCAAGGTTGACTCAGCCTTCCATCTTTCCGAGGTCTGTAAAATAAGGACCCAGATTGTTGCGGGCGAACTGCTGAGATTATAAACAGCTTTAGAGAGTGCTGTGAAGCACTATAGAGTGGTTTAAGCGCTATTGTTATCCTAGGATCCAATTTCTCTCCCTGTTTTAGATCCAGAAGTCTGTTGATAGAGTCTGGACCTGTTTCTCAGCCTAGATTGGGAAGGCAAGAGTGGTACATAGTCCTCGGGTTATGACCACAATTGAGCCCAAAATTTATATTGCTAAGTGAAACATTTGTTAAGTGGGTTTGCCCCCATTTTATGACTTTTCTTGCCACAGTTGTTAAGCGAATCATTGCATTGGTTATGTTAGAGAGGGCTGTAAAGCACTGTGAAGCGGGATGTAAGTCTAAATGCTATTGCTGTTGTCATTAAGCGAATCTATTTTCCTCACTGAATTTGCTTGTCAGAAGGTCGCAAAAGGGGATTATGTGACCTGGGGACACTGCAACGGTCATGAATAGGAACTAGTTGCCAAGCATCCAAATTTTGATCAGGTGACCATGGGGATGCGTCAACGGTCATTAAGTGTGAACGTTTCATCGTAACTTTGAACGGTCACTAAATGAACTGTTGTAAGCCGAGGACTACCTGTATATCCACAGCCCGTAACCTTTAGTAACAATAGATGACAAGTTTTGCAAGTCTCATTCTCTTTTAATGGTTGCCTTTTTTTTCCTGGTGTTTGGGTAACTTTCTAAAACTGCCATTATTATTATTATTTTTTTTACTTCATGACACCCAGTGTCATTAAGACTTAGCCAGATTTATAAAATAAAATAAATAAAAATAAATGAAAAGGCCACCATCCAGCAATAAAATGATTTGGACCAACAACAAATAATCATTTTGAAAAGATGGCCTTACTTATCAGATACCATCCTGAAATACTAAACCAGGGGTCTCCAAACTTGGGAACTTTAAGACTTGTGGACTTCAACTCCCAGAATTCTGAAGTCAGTTGAAGTCCACAAGTCTTAAAGTTCCCAAGTTTGGAGACCCCTACACTAAACCAACTGAAAAAAAAAAGAGAGAGAGAAAGGAAAATCTGAAGCCAAGCATCCTTTCCCTAGCCGGTACAAAGACTGACCTGTAATCCCCATTCCTGGCATGTGAATGGATGGTGCTGGGTAGAGGCCGGAGACCCCAGGACCAGCTGGAGTCAAAGGCCCTGGAGTCCCTGGGAAGTTGTTGAAATCTGGGATCCGTGTGAAGTTGGGAGGGTTCTGCTGGGAGGAGTTAGGATCATAGCAGGAGTTGGGCAGTGGGTTAATGACTCCATCGCTGCTGTTGCTCTGAGTTTGGTTCGCCTTCTTTTTCTTGCATTGCACACAACCCATCGCTGGGCAGCAGCTGTCAGAAGCAGAGAGAGAGAGAGAGAGAGAGAGAACCTGGTTTGTTTAACCATCGTTTATTGAATAACCTCAACTAACTTGATTCATACAACAAGTGGCACCATATACTAAAGTTTTCGAATAGCAATGGACACTTCTCCATATCATACTAGGTTTAACCCGAAGAAATCATATCCTGGCTTAATTAGAGTCTTATCTTCACTCCTTGCTTAAGCCATTTTTTTTTCATGAATCTACTAATATTAGATTTTGCTGTTACTCCCTTAGAGTCAAATTTGGATGATATCATTTTGCAATCTTCGAACTGCAGCCGCTGGCATGTTGGTATTTGCAGAGGGCTTTTCTTTTCCCTAAGTTTAATGAAATAAAATTAACAAAAACGAATAAAAGTAACATAGTAGTTTCAGTGTAGCCAAAATTGGACTGAAACGATCAATACAGTGCATTAAATTCAGACAGACAGCCCTCTACTTACAATCTCAATGGGACCAGAATTTCTTTGCTACCAAGGTGGTTGTTAAGTGAGTCGTGTCCAATTTTATGACCACTTTTGCTGTGGCCCAGGATGGTGCAACTGTCATAATACATGCCAGTTGCCAAGCACCCGACTATTGATCATTGCAACCACAAGGATGCTGCAAGGGTCAGTCATAAATAACCTTTTTCAGTGCCACTGTAATTCTGAATAGTTGCTATGCAAAAAGTTGTAAATCAAGGAGTATTTGTATTCAATATGCACATATAATTTGTATAGTAAAGAATAACTGAAGAGGCATGAGAAATCAGAGCTTGGAGAGGCAGAGAAAAGATTTCTTCTTCCCTTCTGAAACAGGAGATCTGTTTGTAATATTCATGGCCTTTATATTAAGGTTGCTATTTTCCCATCAGAAAAAGGCAGGAATGATGAGCAGAGCAGAAAGGGACCCTTGGAGGTCTTCTAGTCCAACCCCCTGCCTAGACAGGAAACCCTACACATTTCAGACAAATGGTTATCCAACATCTTCTTAAAAACTTCCAGTGTTGGAGCAGTCACAACTTCTGGAGACAAGTTGTTCCACTGGTTAATTGTTCTGTCAGGAAATTTCTCCTTAGTTCTAGATTGCTTCTCTCCTTGATTAGTTTCCACCCATTGCTTCTTGTCCTGCCCTCAGGTGCTTTGGAGAAGAGTTTGACTCCCTCTTCTTTGGGGCAGCCCCTGAGATATTGGAAGACTGCTACCATGTCTCCCCTAGTCCTTCTTTTTATGAAACTAGACATACCCAATTCCAGCAACCGTTCTCTATATGTTTTAGCCTCCAGTCCCCTAATCATCTTTGTTGCTCTTCTCTGTACTCTTTCTAGAGTCTCCACATCTTTTTTACATCGTGGCAACCAAACTGGATGCAGGATTCCAAGTGTGGCCTTACCAAGGCCTTATAAAGTGGTATTAACACTTCACGTGATCTTGATTGTATCCCTCTGTTGATGCAGCCTAGAACTGGGTTGGCTGCTGCAGCACATTATCGATGGTGACATGAAAGTTGAGAAGACAATGATGCAATTCAACACGAGGTTCGAAGGAGGAGCAAAGAAACACACACTTCTGGCTTTGTTTCTCTCAAGTGTTGCTGGATTCAGTTGGGCTTTCCCCCCATCCTATTCTTTCTTTCTGCTGTCTGTTGGTTGCATGGCAACCTGTTTGGCACATCATTCCAAAGAAAAGGCATCCGTGATGGGGCGAAAAGCTATGGATTACAAACAATATTTAGAAAGATTCAGAATGACCCAGGGAGGGCAGGGATACCCGCTGGCCACACCAGGGAGCAGGAAGTGCACCATCCGACCACTTCCAAAGAAAGCAAAGAGCCTTTTCAAAACAAAACATGTTCCATCAAAACAGGAAAAGTCATAAAACATTTAGGCCTACAGTCAACATTTGCCGACTAACACACCTGACCCAATTTCCAACAAGCAAAGTCAATTGGGGAAGCCAGATTCGCTTAACCACCATGTGATTCCCTTAACAACCATGTGATTCATTTAATGACCATGGCAAAATGGTCATAAAATTGGATCCAGTCACATGATCTCTTGCTTAATGACCACATCACTTAGCAACTGACCAGCCCCAATTGTGGTTATAAGTCAAGGACTACCTGTAGTTATTTTTTTCTGAAATTGCTGATTTCTCCCGTCTCACTCAAAAAAATGAGAGAGTGACATTTTTAAAGGCTGTATGCAAAGCTCTGGAAGCTGCAATAAATCTTACTCTATCTTAGTCTAAGATTTACTGCGGGTGCCAGAGCTTTGGATAGTAACCAGGGTGGGGGGGCTATGCAGCAGGTTCCGGCAGGCTCTGGAGAACCAGTAGCGGAAATTCTGAGTAGTTCGGAGAACTGGCAAACACCACCTCTGGCTGGTCCCAGAGTGGGAAGGGAATGGGGATTTTGCAGTATCCTTCCCCTGCAGTAGGGTGGGAATGGAGATTTTGCAGTATCCTTCCCCTGCCACTACCCATCGAAACAGAAGTAAAAAAATTTGAATTCCACTACCCTAGTCCCAGTTTAGTCCTGGGTTTCCAACACAGTCCTTTTCAGAGTGTGACGGATGACACTTCCACAAACATTTCGGTTAAAAAAACTGCATCATATAAGGCCAAGTTCTACAAAGTTTTTGGCAGAGGAAAACCACAGGAAATGAGTCTGCAGGGAAACTGGGTTTCCCTCATTTATCTGCAGACATTCGTGGAGATTCCAAAAAAGGGATGTGAATAAGAGAGTATCACTAGAGATGTCTGGGGGGGGCGGGTTTCCAGGATCAACCCAACTCCCTTGGTAGCTGAGTTTTCAATTGAAGAAATATCCAGGAGAAAAGGGAATTACGACCAAACATTTTTGAAGGTTGAGGAAAGAGAGCATTTTGCCAGCTGGACAATATTCCCTATAATCCAAGGAAATAAAATGAGATGCCTTCTGATCTCTCTTGGCCATCTGGAGTATTGACAAGGGAATAAAAAGGGAGGGACCAGAAAAGCCAAAACCAATTCTCCCTACAAATCAAAGCGATGCCAAACCCCAGGCAGAACTGGATTGTCCTAAGATACGTATTACCCTTCTCTAAACCTAAATAAGAGCCTTGGTAGTACAGTGGTTTAAAGCACCCTGTTATTAAAAACAGCTGCCTGCAATTACTGCAGGTTCGAATCTCGCCAAGGCTCAAGGTTGACTCAGCCTTCCATCCTTTCTAAGGTAGGTAAATTGAGGACCCAGTTGTGGGGGCAATAAGCTGACTTTGTATAAATATACAAAAGAATGAAGGCTATTGCTTAGCGCATTGTAAGCCGCCCTGAGTCTCTGGAGAAGGGCGGCATATAAATCAAATTAAAAAAAAAAACCCAAGACATAAAGGCATGAAAGTCAAATCATATTGGAAAAGGAGTTTTATTCTGGTTTTGGATTAATTTGGGGTTTTGGATTAATCTGGCCACAGTCCGGAATGTTTTCCTGCCTTCAGAAGGTAGAGGGGACAAAAGCAAGAACAGAATTGCATTCAGAGAGTTCCTGCAGCTAAGTTGAGGGGTTATAAGCATGGAGCAGTGAAGATTGTAGGAAAAATAAGCACAGAGCTGAAGATATATCCTAATTCAGAATGACAGGCACCCCAAAGGCACCTGCCGACAGGAGCCTTTCATTAGTAGTGGAAGAGCAATAAGGGGCATCTAGAAACGTAGGCAGACAATAACTTGGTCAAACACGCACAGGGTAGATTCTCATGAATTGCCCATAGATCAAAAGCACTGAAAGGGGCACAGCCTTGCAAATTCAGCCTATTGCTACTTTGCAGGTTTACGGTAGCCTCTACACACAATGTGCTTTTTGTGGCAGTGAGAAATTCTAATGCCGGCCCCACCATCTCGCTTTCCTTCACACACACACACACCAAGAAGTTTCCATCCCTTCAATCCAAATGAAGCAGGGATGAAATCAAGTGGAACGTAACAAGCAAAGAGAGAGGAAAACAAGAATGTGCGTTCATGGGTTTCCCACAGAGGAAAATTTGCCATGTGTTTCCCACCACACAGGTTGGGAAGAATTCACAGGACTGTAAAAAAAAAAAGCAGATTTGAGGACGCAGATTGTCCTAGATGAAGGACCGCACGATTCTGGAGAAACAGATGGAAGCAATATCCGACAGCAATTTCTTTCAGGATAATTCTTAAAATGATCTTCCTCCAGATCTAGATGATTCATTTCATCTTTAAACCTCTTAACTCTAACTCCCCAAAGATGGAGGACACTCATCTCTGCTTCCATTTTCCCTGTTAGCACTATAACCGGGATGGCAAACCTATGGCATGCATGCCGGAAGTAGCACGCAGAGCCATCTCTCTGGGTACGTGAGCCATTGTCCGTTGCTCTTCCGGATTCTGGTGTACCGGCCAGCTGGTCTTCACATGCACGGGAGTGCCAGAAACCAGAAGAGCAGCCACTTCATGCACACGCGTGCACCAGGTGGCTGCTCTTCTGGTTTCTGGTGCGCGCATGCGTGCTGGCCACTTGGTCTCCCAGTTTCTGGTGCTCATCCGCAAGCGAAGACCAACTGGCCAGTTCACATGTGTGTGCCAGAAACTGGAAGATCATCTTCCAGGCGCATGCATGCGCACCAGGCGGCTGCTCTTCCGGTTTCTGGCATGCACATGCGGACCAGCTACTTGGTCTTCGCGCACGCATGCACGGCAGGAACTGGAAGATCAGGTGGCCAGTGCACATGCGCGTGCCAGAAACTGGAAGAGTAGCTGCCCTGCGCGCGCATGCGCACCAGACAACTGCTCTTCCGGTTTCTGGCACACACATGCACGTACTCCCGCCAACACTGCCCTATAAGGTAGCCCAGATCAAGAAACCAATGCCATATAAGCCAGAGGTGGGTTTCTGACCAGTTCTGGAAAACCAGTAGCGGAAATTTTGAGTAGTTCGGAGAACCAGTGGTAAAAATTCTGACTGGCCCCGCCCTCATCTATTCTCTGCCTCCCAAGTCCCAGCTGATCGGGAGGAAATGGGGATTTCGCAGTAACCTTCCCCTGGAGTGGGATGGGAATGGAGATTTTACAGTATCCTTCTCCTGCCACACTCACCAAGCCACACCCACCAAACCATGACACACCCACCAACAGAATCAGTAGTAAAAAAATTTGAAACCCACCGATATAAGCCTAAAACTATTTTTATTGTAGCAGCTTTAGGAACAGAATCTTGCAAGTCTGAATGTCCTTTATCTTTGTATAAATTAAGGGGGAGCTGGTCTGAGATGTTTCCTGGAATAGACTCAAGTCCCACTTTTCTGTCTGTCCTTCAGGGCTATTTTCTATGCCCCCCTACCCAAGTCCAGGGCTGTGCTCCACCCACCCACCCACCACTACACCAGAGGAAAGGCTCACCAGAATGGGATTTCACGTCAGTTCACTTGTTCCATGTTTCTTGCCGGAGAACAGGAGTCTAAAGGGGGAAAAAAAGAAGCATACTTTTTATTTATATGTGTTTACTTATTAAATTTGCCAGGTATCTCACTATGCAAAGTGATTCTGGGACACTAACAATACAATAAAACCATAGGTATAAAAACATTAAAATTACCAAGAATTAGATAACGACTAAAAATCTAAAGCACAAACGGTACAGAGGCAGAATTTTCTCTATTATTCTACCAACCACCTCTAGCATAGAGCACCCCCATCGATTGCTTATACCCTAAACCACTATAAACCATGGTTATTTAGAAACCGGTGTTGAAGGACATGGCCTATTGTGTTGCATTTGCTCAAACCTAAGCTAGAATAAAGACGTAAATGTAAGTCAAGTCTGTTTTTACCAACTACGTTAGGCAAAATAGTATTGAGTCTATCAATTTGCTTTATGGAATTTTATTTTAAGAATAGACCAGAAAATCCATGTTTCCATTTGTCAATGTTCCCTCAACAGATTTCTTATACAGATTCCCCCATGGTATGTAGCTTTTAACATCTACTCCACAAGAAACTTTTGTTAAAATGCTAATTTTCCCTATGGTTTGGTTTGGTTTCACAAACTTCCCAATTGCCTCTTAAATCTTAATGAAATTTTATTATTTCTACTCCTCTCCCTGTTGCCTTCTAAGTCAAATGTTGCTGCTAAAATGCCCAGAATAAATAAACAGATCTTTGAGGTCAATAGATATATTTGCAATTAGAGGCACTTTTACAAAATATCTTCTATAGATAGCCTTGCCCTTACATTAAATGGCCAGAGAGATCAAATGGCTGATCACTCATGCAGAGTAGTTTACATTCATTTATTTGTGATGTCAAAAACCTGCCCCAGTGCCTATGTACTAGGTAAGCTTGAGTCTGAATGTCAAAGTGCAGAAAGTGCCTTTGGAACTCCCCCGTTGTGTCTAAAATTTCTTTTTCTGCAAAAGACAAGAGGAAGAGGCTCAGAAAGAACCCCACTCATTTCCCCCCCTCCAAAAATTTTTTGAATTGGAGTCTAATCTAAAATAGAAGGGTAATTTCAGCTTCAAATGCCAACTCACACAAGCATTAACTCACAATCATGGAGAGGGCAAAATTGTTATACTCAAAATGACACCAAGGAAAGCAACTAAATGAAGACATTTTTAATTTCAGATACGCAAGATTCTGTTACTGTGGCCTTACAATAAAGTACCGTATTTTTCAGAGTATAAGATGCACTCCCCCCCAAAAGAGGGTGAAAATTTGGGTGCGTCTTATACACCGAATTAGCCCTGCCAGCCCCCGCCCTTTGGCCTCTGCCTCCCAGCAATTTGCCTCCTTGCAGCAAACTGCAAAGAGCCCGTTTCAGCTTCAGCACAGCCCGATTAGCACAAGCAGCTAATTGTCGTTGGATCAGCCTCCCAACCCTCAGCTGTTTCAGGCTGCAGGGATTGCCATTGCTTATTGATGTGAGGGCCTCCGCTGCTTGCTGCAAGGAGGCAAATTGCTGGGAGGCAGATTTTTTTTTTCTTGTACTAATCAGGCTGTACTGAAAATGAAAATGAAACTAAAGCAGGCTGTTTGCTGCAAGGAGGCAAATTGCTGGGAGGCAGAGGCAGATTTTTTTCCCCCTTGTTTTCCTCTCCAAAAAAGGTAGGTGCATCTTACAGTCCGGAGCGTCTTATACTCCGAAAAATACGGTAGTTTGAGCTCATCTTGTGGTCGTTTTTTTCTGTTTGGTGTCGTCTACTTGGGAGACCGACATCTCTCTTGCAAGTCTGAAAGTATAAATCTCCCTCTGTCTAGTTTTACCGTCTGGTTAGTATCCTTTCTATGTTTCTTTCTCTACCATTACTCAGTTGTGGGCTCCTCCTCCTTTTATCTGATCATTGCCTATGCCAGGGGTCCCCAACCCCGAACTTCCAGACCATGGACCAGTACCGGTTTGTGGCCTGTTAGGAACTGGGTCGCATAGCTGGAAATGAGGGGCAGGTGAACGAAACTGTGCATATGAAGGATCTAAGTTGTAGGCTCCTCCCACCCACCCCCCAGTCCGTGGAAAAATTGTCTTCCATGAAACCAGTCCCTGTTGCCAAAAAGACTTGGGACTGCTGCTGTAGGCAACATTCCACCCCACCCCCTCCGCCACCATCTTCCAAGGTCATCCTCACATTCCATTACAGTCCATGAGGTGGTATTGGCCTCTTGAGAGTTGAGATGGTTCCACCAACCTTGAAGGAGGTGCTCGTGGTGCATCTTCTCTTCAAGAAGCCACCTCTGGACCCAAGAGTCCTGGACAATGTTTGTTCAATCTCTCCTTTCTAGAGAATGTTATTGAGAAGGTTGGTAGGATAGCAGCTGCAGAAGACCTGCCTTCAGGCAATACCTAAAACCTCGGTCCTTTCCCCAGGCCTTGGGTCAGGACGCCTGCAGGACCATTTGGACTGCAGATGATTTAGGGCAGGGGTTTCAAACTCAAGGCCCGGGGGCCACATCTGGCCCGCAGGCTATTTAGATCTGGCCCGCGGGGCCACCCTGGAAACAACGAAGGACGGTGGTGCTTCTGCCAGCAAAAACAAGCTCTCAAGCTCCAATTTCAGCTGCGACAGCCTCCTGCAACCTCTGCCAGTGAAAATAGAGCTTGGGAGGACCGCACACGGCCCTCCCAAGCTCCATTTTCACTGGCAGAGGATTGCCGGAGGTTGTCACAGCTGAAAACGGAGCTTGGGACTCTGTTTTTGTTGGCAGAGCGTTCAGGCCGCCACAGGTGCCCCCAATACAAGTGATGTCGAACTGGCCCCCCACCCCCCAGCCCCCCACCCTCCCGAGGTCAAACACAACCCTCGAGCTTGATCCACCTACCCCCTGATTTAGGGAGAGTGTTCTGCTTGCTCTTTCAGGGCGACTGTTGTTCTTTTGATCTGACATGGCTTCTTTTCTATGTTCTCCTAATCTGTAAAGCCACCCAGGGTCATTTTGGAGTTGTGGTCAAGTCTAGAAACTCGTAGAAACAAACAAATCAATCAATAAATGCTGCCAAAAAGCCCTGTCTTAGTTTATTCTCCAGTGCTCCGATCATTGGATCTTGGGAGGAAAACAACAAAAAGGTCTGTGAAAAAGGCATTGTACTCTCTTTTCCAATCTTTTTGAGAAGCAGTTGTTCAAAATTGTTCCCCGCTTGGTGCACTTGGGGTCCCAGCTCACGTATCAATGCCAAACTGTGGTTCTATCAAGTACACCTCGCCATCATGCCCAGTGCTGACTGCACAGTTGTCAGCCCAAATCATTGTCCGCTGACGACTAGTCTGCGGAATTATTTTTGATGGTGGATGCCTTAATAATGTACAATGAGAGCCAAGAACGATGAATTGGAGTCCTCTGTCTCGAATGCTGTCCTTCACAGCAGCCCCAAAGGAAAGGGGAAGTGGGGGGAGGAAGAAAGGAGAGAGCCTCAAAAAAAAAAGAGCTGGAAATAGCCAACCCTCCAAGCTCCTTAACCCTCCACTGAGCAGCAGGGGAGAGGCAGGTAAATGGGAAACTGTGTCATCTGATGTTTGTTTCATTTACAGGTATATAAAAATACATACAGGTAGTCTTCACTTACTGACTGAAACTGGAGCTGGCAAACTTCATCGCCAAGCAATGCAATTGCAAAGTGAAAACTCTTGCGATGTTGCCCAACTCACAACAGAAAATTGTCAGTTCTGACTGCGGTTGTTCAGTGAATCGCTGCAAGTCATTAAGTGCAATGGGCTCTATTAAGAGGACAATTTGCTTCTCAGCCCACACCGTTTCTGTCTAAAATTCTTCCGGGTAGTCCAAGCTCAGAGAATAAGCCGAAGACAGAAAAGAGGATGACAAAGAAGAACAGGGAGAGGAAGAGAAGGAGATGGTCCATCTTCGTGTCCCAAATGTGCTTTTTCCAAAAGCAACTGGATTTCCTTTGTTTTTCCTTGAAGATGTTTTGCTTCTCACCCAAGAAGCCTCTTCGGTTCTGACTGAACTGAAGAAGACAGAGTCACAACCGAAGAAGCTTCTTGGATGAGAAACAAAACGTCTTCACGGAAAAACAAAGAAAGTCCAGTGGCCTTCGGAAAAAGCACCTTTGAGATAACTATGTCATGATTTTGATGACAGAGAATCTCCACAGACATCCATCTGTTTAATTAAGGCTCCTTGATTTAATCTGCTGAACATACCTCTTTTTAACTGTTGCTGAGACCAAATATCAGTTTAGAAATGTGAAATTGGAGGTGGAAGGGGTGGGGGGAAATTGGTGCTCTCTCTATTCCACCCCACTGAAAAGGAATCTCCTGTCTATCCAGAAGCAGTTGATGGAAATATTTTCTGGATTCAGATCATGTGGAAACTACCCTGGCTCAAATTCAATCAAATGATCGGAAACTTAACACTTATGGGTATCATCTGCATGTTGATTTCACTTTCATATTTCAGCTTACATTGTTTTCTACCACAGTATGACTGTGGCATCGTATCTCTCACCCAATTCACCATGAAATTTTGCAGGACCCTCAGCATCGCTTTCTTTTTTTATGTATAGAGAGGAAACAAACCAGAAGACATCAATCTAGGCAGCTTAGTACAGTTAGTCCTTGATTTACAACAGTTCATTTAGTGACCATTGGAAGTTACAACAGTACTGAAAAAAGGGAATTATGACCGTTTTTCCACGTTTATGATCGTTATGGCATCCCCATGGCCACGTGATCAAAATTCAGACAGAACAGAACAGAACAGAACAGAACAGACTAGAATAACAGAGTTGGAAGGGAGCTTAGAGGTCTTCTAGTCCAACCCCCTGCTCAGGCAGGAAATTCTACACCATTTCAGACACATGGTCATCCAAACTCTTCTTAAAAACTTCCAGTGTTGGAGCATTCACAACTTCTGGATCTGTTCCACTGATTAATTGTTCTGTCGGGAAATTTGCTGACAGTTAGATGCCTGTCAACTGACTCATATTTATGATGGCTGCAGTGTCCTGGG